TCAACATTTGGGGCAAAGCCTTTGTAGTCATTCTGCTGCCAGTGGGCATCTGATTCTTTCTTAGATATAATAATTTTACCTGAAAAACAATTTGTGTTATAAGATCAGAAATAGTTTTTTTAATATCTATTCACCCATTACATTGGCATACCTATGCATTATTTCATGATGTCATGGTAAATAATCCTTTATAAAGTACTTTTCCAAACTAGAGTAATTCCCAAGTCAAAGGCATAAAAACGCAACACATGAGAACGCACCCAGCCACTTTACATTTCTAGCACCCACAACCCCAGGTACTATAACCCTGATAGGGTAGCCATGATCCCTCGGTATGGTTTCACCATTCATCTCATATGCCAGATAAACATCTCCGTAGGGGTCTAGCGCTTTCTCAATGGGTATACTTGAACCATACGGCATGTTTGCAGGATCTGTATCCAGCCCCTCAAACTAAAATGAAAACAAAGGAGAATCTTTTTTCATTTGACAATCAACAATGTAACATCCAATTCTTTACATATTTTCAACTATATATGAATATATAAACGAATCTAATTGCAGGCACAGATACATGAGAGTAATTATAGATATCTATTTAAAACATAAATACTCTATCTGATACCGGATAAAAATTCAACTGACCTGTACATGTAAAGCATCTGTGGTGTCTCGCTCTATGCCCATATCCTTGAGCACATCACAGAGTCGTGCTCCACTCCACTTGGCATTTCCAATAGCTGCTTGGCCCCAGCTCAATCCTTTAACAGCTTTCACCTTTACAGGTAAAAAAAAAATTAGACAAAGATCATTTTCCATTATTAGTTTAGCTACTAGGCCCCAGCTCAATCCTTTAACAGCTTTCACCTTTGCTGGACAAAATTAATTAGAAAAGATAATTCTTTTAAGGTAAGTTTAGCAAAAGGGTGTTCAAAACATACCCTCTGTGTCATCCCCAACCTACCACAAGATTTCATGGGCCTGTGGCAAACCTGCCATCCCCTGCTCCTATCCCCTATTTTTGGTATTCATCACTGGAATGAGTAAAACTTAAAAAAATAATAATAATAAAAAAAAAAATAATAAATAAATAAATAAATAAAATAAGCATGCAAATTCATGCAAATTTACCAAATGAATATTAGCAGTCCTTGGTTATCACTAGTTCCTTCACCTGTAAAGCACATTTGAAGAGTATTATGAATGTGAAGATCAGATTCTATTATTTCTATTAATTTTTTTCACATTTCTGCAGATGTTCATGGATAATTTGTATCATTCATTTGAAAATTGCCCTGTGAATAAAAAACTAAAAAACTATAATTTCCACATTTTTTCATCTGTAATTAACAATTTGCTTATTCTTTTTGTCTTTCTTTTGCAGATATGTAAACAAAATGCTATGGGACCTTCCTCCTGAGGAACATGGACACCTCTCGTTTCAGCCTTTGATGCAGGCAGTGCATGTGTACATAGACTCTACACTAAAGTTTTGTTCTATCCATTTTTTATATATCAATAGCTCCACAGTGCTTGCTCATCACAGAGTAAATTTCAAGGCCTACTGATCTTGCCTAATCATCTCATTCTGGGAAAAAAAAGTTATCATTACTATAAATAATAAATATAATACAATATGATTTCTTCTTTCTTTCTTTCTTTCTAGTAAATGCATGGAATGGGGTAGCAACTAATTCTCTGATCTAGATCTGGTAAAACAATCAATCTGTAACATAAATAAATAAATAAACAAATAAATGTAAAAAAATAAATACATAAAACAAAACACTAGTGGATGTTCTCTGTGTCAACAACTTAATATTCCGATTTGGAAATAAACAAGAAAATACTAAAAAGAATAACAATATTCTTAGAATCAAATACTACATAAATTTTGAATCTAACATATAAAATCTTGTAAAGGACATAACTCAGTCATATTCAAAAACAGATTCAAGAAATATCTTATGGAGAATGTAAGGATATGGAAACAAATAATAATGATAACAACAACTACAACTGTTAAATACATAAAGCTACAAACACAAATGACAATCACAAGAGGATCTAAATGGAAAAATTGTATCAACTAAAAAAGAGGGAAAATAAATATATAGTTTATAGAAATGAAAAATATACACAAAAAATACCAATGAATCTTGAAAAATAACTAAATATTTACAAATACACAATCAAACAAAACAAATCTAACTAGGCCTATGGCAAACACACAATAAACAAGTCTGGTATCTTCACATACTCTTGTCATTTCTGAACGACGGTTTCCTGCACATTGTATTGTGGCGGTCACTGTGTGCTTGGGTACTTCTTGATGGCATCCAGTGTAAGGACTTTCTCCTTATCAGTCTCTTCATCAGTGATGTCCAACTCGTAGGTCGAGGCATCTACGTCTGGGACTGGCAGGTGGTTTCGGACATAGAAGAGCTCACTGCAATGTTGTGTTGTGAGTTATGAATTATGGCATATGAGGAGTGAATTTTTATTTGAGATATAAATTATTAAGAATATATCATAAGCTACTAATAATGAGTTATAAATTGTGAGCTGTGTATTAAGACATATTAATTGTGAAATAAGAACTATGATCTATGAGCTCCAGCTTATGCATGTTCCTCTATTAACACACACATATATAACAGCATATTTTGAACATTCATATGGAGTGAAATGTCTGGGCTGAAGAATCTCCCTTAAACCCACACACAGAAACATAGCAAGATAATCAGGGTACTGTTCTAAGAGGTAAGTGTGCGACAGGTTTGAAACTGCATTTTCTTTGCGCTTGCAATGGATCTCCCAACCTTCCTGGTGATGAAAAAAACAAAGTTAATGCTCACACACTTTCTCTCCTGAGAAAGAAACTAGAAGCTAATCTCACCCTTACTGCAAGACAAATAATGAAAGACTATCATTTACTACAGGGAGTGGCCCACCTGACTGTAAAAGGGTACTTACCTCTCTCTACTGTTCCTTTTGTCCTTAAACCACAACATAGTGCAAGGATAATGCCAGTTTGTTATACAATTGTGCTTGTTTGAAGCCCTAATCTGAACCATTCTATCAATCTTTCTATACATATCAGGTAAGGTATATGGTTTAACATCACTGGAGGTCTGGGAAGGGGACACAGAGTGATATAAAAAAATATAGGTCTCATTCAATCAAACAAACCTATTAACACAGTGCCATGATTTATATGGGTGTCACTATGTCAATTTTCTCAACTCAGAAAAATTATGCTATTTCCTGACATCTAAGAGTCCTTAGTTACTCTGTTTGACTAGCAGTATTTATTTCTTTATTTGTAATATGCAACATTTTTTTTTCTGTCTTTGCTTATACATAGCCTACATACATAAAAAAAAATACATTTTTCATTTATCAATCATTACCCCATTTACATACTTCATTTTTCTGAACACCAGCATGCAAACAGAAGAATCTTGATTTACTAGACTAAATTATAGACTAGAAGATTTGACAGTTGCATATCTGAGTGTATGTGTAAAAGCAAAATACACAACTTTGTAAGATATGTAAAGGTAAGGAAAGGGGGAAAAAATGTAAAAAAGAAAGAAAGAGAAAAAATAAAACATACTTTGGTGTAATCAGATTGTCGGCAAGTAAAGGCAGAGGAGGTTCAGCGTTGAAAGGCTTTTTCGATGAAGGCTTTAAGGCGACATGTCTACGAGGCTCATTACCATAAGGGTCATCCATGTCTTTAACATGTGCACCAACATCACTTGAAGATAAGTTTCCTTTAAGGAGAGGAAAATTACCAGAATAATTAAAATAACAGGAACAAAAAAGATTATATAAATGTCTATTTTCCAATTTTCTTTCCATCTTCTCCCATAAATAAAAAGCCAATTGTATATGTACTTACAATGTCAGTACATTGCATGAATTGATTAAGAAAAGAGTAAGTTTGGAAAAAAAAAAATTGTGATCAGAATAAAAAATGTTATATAATTTCATTTTCAACCATTTTTTTCTTCTAAATAAAACAAAATAGAAGAATAAACTTTCATGTATGACATACGACATAAAAAAATTGCAAATATTCTCACCAATTCTGTACTTCTCAAACAACTCCAGCACATGTGGGTTTTTGTGAACAGCATACAGGGCCCAGAAAGGTTCAACAGAACCTCCTGCACCCATAAGGATTTTGTCGCCACCTGTAAGAAATCAATAACAAGGAGTTTCCTAAATCTTTCCCATGCTGTATAATTTTTTTCGTGTTCATTGTATGTGTATAACTGGAATAATTATTTTTTTGTGATTTGTAAAATGGATTATTAAAGCCACAAAAAAATATATATACATAAATAATAATTCTTCACTTTACACCAACTCCCTTCAGGTAGGCAAACAGATAACATAGTCAAATAAATATGGGACCTAATAATATTTCTTTAGTATTAACACTAAAGACAAATCTTTTAACACTTCTTTCACTATATTTAGATATAAAAAAGGCTTCAACATTCCCAAAAGGATGCCTGTACTGCCGTAAACATTAAAAGTATATTAACTATAATCTTAAAAGCAAGAACAACCAATATACAAAAAAAAAATGCTCTGCCAGATAGATTCATCCTTGGGCCATGAGGTCTTAATGTACCTTCACACCTTCAAATTGGTCATCAGAACATAAAAGTAGCTACAAACTGAATTAACATAAAGGAACTGCATAAAGAAACACAATACAATGTCAAGAAAACCTTAAAAATACTTATATAACACAACCAATCAGTTTGAATTTACCTGGATGTTCCTGGATAAAATCGGTGATGTCATAAACGCCATGTCTGTATGCACCCACACCCTCTCTTTCACAGATGCATGTTTGGACACATCATCAAGTGTGTATTCTGGTAGACCATCACGATAAGCCCCAAAGGCAGAAACCTCTTGGTCTGTTGTGAGCAGACTGGCTGCCTCTGAAAAAGGGCAAACTCTTATATTACTCGAAG